GGGTTGCACGCTCTGCCGTAGCTGTGGCGGCTGCTGCTGTGGTTGCTAGCGAGCGTTCTCCCAAGGGCTCGCCGTGCTCTTGTTTGGCTTGCAGCGATGGCATTCCTGGCTCTGTGCCCAGCGACTGCCGTCTAGCACCCCTTCCCCCATCTCTCACACACACACACACAAACCAGCCCCATCAGTTGAAACCCCCTCATCTTCATTTGCTCCAATGTGGGGCAGCTCGGCATTTACATGTCCACATTTCACCTTGCACACATCGACTCCCCTTCCTCTCCATCTCCACTCAATTTTCTACAAATTTTACACCTGCTTTTATTAGGCTGTCCTTGGTCTCTCCTCAGTCTGACTCTGTTTTTTTGCCTTCCTTTGTCAGCAGAGTGAGTGTCTGGTTTTAAGAGGGACACCAAGCTCTAATCCTGTTGTTCTGACAGGAGGGTGTAATTCCACAACAGAGCTGAGCTCATTGACCTACGTCCTTCATATCCACACGAGCTGTGTTTCCCCACTACAAACGACTGCTCATGATGTAGCTCAGCCTGTTACTACGAGTAAACATCAAATGAAAACAGCTGTCTTGCAGCCTCCTCTGTGTGATTTATTTATTTATTATTAATATCTAATATCTACATTTGATAAACAGGCGTGTTTGAATTGGCTTTCTTTAAAAAAAAAAAGGAAAAAAAAGTAACGACTACTGGTTTAATGAAATGCTTGTCCTTGTAGTGCCATTATATTACCAGAGATGCTGCAGCATCCAAATGGGCAGAAGATGCCATTACTGCTCTCTTTCCATCAGCCAGTACAGTCCAAGGGACGCACATCTGTCCAAGCCAGGCAGATGTTTGGAAACGGCGCGGCGGCTCTCATCAAGAGAGACTCCCTCTGTCCTGCTCAGGGACCCAATGTTTCTTAAACTGAAATCATTTTGACGCTTTGCTCTGCACTCACTCTCCTCATCCGGGTTGGAGGCCGACAGCAGCTCACATTAACTGGAGCATCTCTCTTATCCTCTGATCCTACATGACACAAGCCCCACTGATGCCTTTGAAAGGAGCAGCACCAGCTATATTTAGCATGGCAGCTGCACCAGCAGGTTCCATATCCAGCCTCTCGAGGGTAAAAATAAGTGTTTATGATGTGAATTGGTAGATAGGTGCATGCAGGCGGCGTGGTTTTGTGTCCAAGGAAATTCCAACAACCTAATCTCATGCTTGCAATCTCGACCACAGTCCAGTAATAAGGATGCTCTGTTTATCATGCAGCTTCTTTTCATTGCTGCTCTTTATGAACCATCGGGTCTGGAGTGCTGCAGGATAGGCTGAATTCTGTTTTCAGTTCCTGCAAGCATTGAAGGCATGTGCTGCTGAGCCAGCCAGGAGGCCCAGCATGTGAGTGAGTGATAATGTCTAAAAATAATATAGCAAATTTGTTGCAGGTGATACATGCCATATTTTCTATTTTTAAACAGTCTGGATAAAAACAAATAATCAGTCACTAAAGTGAAAATGTTAAGCTGGACAGATATTCAGTTCAATTTAACTTTGCTGAAACAGGTAATCACAGGTTGTTTGAGGGATTTTTTTTGTAAGTTGTTTTTTTTTGCCCTTTTTGGATCTGTTAGCAGTAGTCAAAGACTTTGTTGCTGAGCTGAACTCCAGTTGATGTAAAGTTAATTGAGAACAGCCTTGGTTGGTGCTGTTTTGATACCAATTACACATCTAAATGATGTTCGACCAGAAATGTATGAAAACATTTGTTGCTGTAGCTGTTTGAGGTTGAACTTCAACATTATTATTTATACCCCATTTCCACCAAAACTAGCAGGGTTTTTAAACATTGGAAAATCCCATAGTTTTTTACTGGTGTGTCACATTCGACGTCACAGACATGCTTGAAAACAAGCTAGCAAACAGTAGAAAGCAGCATGGAGGCCAGTGGTTACTTCTTTTGTTATATCTCTTACTTATTATTCAGTCTCTCTTTCAAACTTGGAGCAGACTAATTGGGAATGATGTTTGAGCGCTGCTTGTGTGGAAACATAAGGTATTTTTGATGTGGCGCATCATTGCATCTTGCTGGTAAAGGGGCGAAAATTAGCGCGTTCACCCAGGTGTTATATTTCTGTCAATGCCGATTAGAGCAGCAGCCGATTAATATCCATGACTACTGCAGAGTCACTTGACCTGGTTGTGAATGCTGATTGTAACCATTCTCATTATATTTAAAAAAAAAAAAAAAAAAGTTGTTGGAGTTTTTTTGTGCAGCAAGATGCACCTGTCAGGTTTCTGGGTTGATTCGAGTTGCATGTTTATTTATGTCGTTGTCTTTCTATTAGTGTGTAAGTTCATCACTGATCTGTGGGCCATTTGAAATAATGCGAAGACAGACTTTGTACTAAGCAGAATGCACTGGTTTCCCTCAAAGAAATATAATAATAATAATAATAATAATAATAATAGCAGTTTGATTCCTGACTGTCTGGACTGTGTAAGAAATTCTCCACATGTGACAGCAGTGCTAAAGATGATATAAAGTGGAGCAGAAGAAATACTGTGGGGTCTGATCTTTGCAGTAAACCAGAGGCTTCCTCGTGGTGACCCTTTGTCACCTGTCTGCTAACCGCTCGGTCTGAGAGACGAGGTGACCATGGCCTCTGGGAGGTGGTGGCATGGCAACAGCTGCTGTTAACAAAGCATAGCTGCACACTATGCAAGGTCAGATTGGAAAATGTAGTCTGCACAGTTCGAAGCAAAGGTATACCATGTTTTTTTGTTGTTTTCATGCACTTTCAGTCAGGTTGAGAATACACATTAAGGTGCAGTGAACATGCACCATTAGAAACATCAACATTAGGCATGTGTGCAATCATTACTCACACATATATACATATTTACAGGAATGGAGCCCTGCACTTAAACATGCATTCAGATTTTAAACCTGTCGCAACCGTTTGGATTTTCTCCTCCATGCTCAACCATTTCACACCATGGGGCTGTGTATTGGCAAGAATCTAGTGATACGATATATATCATCATACAGGAATTGCGATCATGTAAGCACAGCATTTACTACGAAATACATTTACATAAATATTTTAAGGAGCTAACGATGTGCTTTTTATGACTCTGCTTGTTTAATAGGCCCGTGCTCTTTGGGTTTATGCTAACGATATGTTGTTACGTTGGAGTCAAATGGCCAAAGAAGGATTACAACACTGCCATCAAGTGGTCGGGGTTTAAACACAGCACAAAATGAACCACTACCATGAATCTTTGCATGTAAAATAGTAGGGCTGCCCCCAACTAAGAATTTTCCTTGGCGACCAATAGTCATCATTTAGGGCCATTAGTCAACTAGTCGCCCGCATGTTAAAGGTTAGAGAAAGAATAGTATCAGTAACATTGTTAACACTGTGCTACATTGTAGAGAAATACAAAACTGTACTAATGAACCTTCATTAATATAGGCCTATATTTTATCTACAAGTGCACGTCATACACTGAGCGAGCCGCCTGTTAATGACGCTGTCGGCAAAGCAGTAATGATTGTGCTAAGTGGCTAATGGGCATGTAGTTACTTCCATGTTTCAGATGATACGTCATGTTTGTAGTCGACCAATGAAGATGAGTTTACATATCACCTTGGGTTCATCCTTAACCTTCTCAAAATGATCCAGACAAAGTACATTTTGTAGGAATCACTCCGCCAAAACACTTGAAACAGTTTGCTAACTTGGCCTGTGCTACAGAAAATGCTGACTTCTTGTAAAGAAGTAAAGCCTACTAGATATCTCCAACCTGTGTCCTGTATAATCCAACACTGCCTCCTCTTCTTATTCATTTCTGGCACTGTCCCAGAAATGTTACTAAAGACTACACTGAATGTCCCTGAGTTGAGATGATCGAGTCAAAGCTGGCAGCCGAGTGACTTCTTCAAATGCTCAAGGGCTGTTTCTGCTTTCTTACTTTTTATTTTCATTTTTGAAAGAGAAGAAAATGTTACTGTCATCCTACAGTATATGAAAGACAGCACGAAACTCTGGTGGTAAAAAAACTGTGTGTCATCATAACATCACTAAAAGTAAGCCTAGTTGAATTCTGTTGTCACTTGAGTTGTCGGTTTCTAACTTCTGTTGTCTTTGTTGAATGTAGTACTAGGCATTGGACGATATGAAAATTACATGTCACAATTATCCTAGCCAAAAATAATTGTGATTCATGATACTATTCTGATGATCATCAAAATAAGCAAAACAAATATTCTATCATTTTATGGTGATCCACGATAAAATCATATATCATTCCATCCATACGTATTGCATTTGCCATCAAGGTCAAGAAAGAACAATCAGGATGAGACAATGACATAGTTTTGTTTGTTTTTTTTGTTTGTTTTTTTTTTGGCTATTCAGAATCCTCTCATGAACCCTCGCTCCCATGACTTGCTTCAAGCCCTGACTCAGATACTCAGAAGCCCAGATTTGCGCCTCAGTTCCTGATGCCTGTCCAAGTCCATCTTCTCGTATTTCCAATTCCATTATTGAACCTCCACAATCAAACTGATTTCAGTGCAGTGCTTAAGGGCGCTGTCTGTCTCCACCTGACTGCGCACCAGGGCCTCGGGGAGCGCTTGTTGCCAGGCAATGGCACACACCGCTGTCGCCTGCAGCAGCACAGGCATGGCGGGAGAAAAGGCTGATGGTTTTAATTTCACATTTCAGGTTCCAGGCAGGTTCTCCTTTTCTCAAGTCCTTTAAAAACCTAGATTCCAGCTTTTATTTTCTTGTTTTTTTGCATAGAGATATAGCTGTCAGCTGGATGCGCTGGCACATGAACCTACGAGGCATTATCAGGTGGCTTTTGACTACAGTGTCAGCAGTGAACAGTTTTCCTCTCAGGACTGGGGAGAGAAGGTTTAGCCTGTCACCAGCTCGGTGTTGTCAACAGATGAATGCTGCGCATAAAGTTGTCTACAACCCAGAACCCTGGCACGTATTGTTTTCCTGTGGTCTGCCCACATATTAGTTATGTTGGGATCTGTTGCCGTGGCTCAGTGTGTAGACTGTAGAACAGGGGCCTTGTCTCATTGGCCCCCACTATGCTAAACCTGCAAGGCCTCCCTAATGGTTTCCAGAGCCAACCCCAGAGACCACCAGACCAAAACACATACACACACATGCTCAGTTTGCACTGTTCAGAACATCACAGTTTGCAAAGTGCAACACAAAGCCACATTCCTGTCTGGTGGCTGTAATAGAACTGTGCACGTGATCTGGTGTGTTATGACAGAAGCCATTGACAACAATGATTTTACCTTGGAGAGCAATAATCAAACACTGCGGCCAAATGAATTACTTTTGCAGGTGTTCACCTGCCTACTGGTGCCGAGGCACGGTATCTGTCTCCTCCGTTGGTGACTGGGATAAAAACATGTCTGTCTCTGTCTCTTTTTTGTTTTAAAGCTGTGAGAAGAAGCAAAAAACACGAGAAGAGAACCATTTGATGGAAGATAAGAAAAAGAAAAAGCAAGAAGAGAAGAAAAAGAAAGAAGCTGCTCAGAAAAAGGTGAGCTTGTAACGGTAACGGTACACTCATGTTTAACCCATTGACTCTGCGTACCATTTAATCAACACGGTAAGATACTGTAAGCCCCCAGTCAGTGTTGGTTCATGCATGGCCGACAGTCCACTTCCTTATCCCCAGCCAGTCTCAGACGAAGCGGCTGTAACACCATCTGTACTATTTTAAATGTTAGGTGGTGCACAACAAAGCACAGGCCTCCACTATGCTCAGGTGTTTTTGCTGGAGTTACATCACATCGATCACATGCACACTGAGCAGCACATGCATTTTGTCGTGTGTTTCCACAGGAAGCATTAAACAGAACGTTATGTAGTTGTCATCCTCGTCTTTAACCCGCAGCCCCCCACCTCTACCCCTCCTCCTCACGTTTTCCTTCAGTAGCTCATCTGTTTTCAGTGTTTGCCTGCTGTTCTCAGTAATACGTTTTATGTATCCTTGACCCTTCTTGTCGGGGGCTGCGGAAAGTATGTTTGTGTACGTTTCTTAATGTATCAGAGGAGCATTTGTGTTATCTATTTTACTCCCTCTCCAGCCACAAGCACGGTGAACCCACTCACCCCACCGAGCAGCAGGAATGAACATGAACCTTTTAGCATTTCAATAGATGAGCAAAACCAGCCCCTGAACATTTTGTTCCGATTGCCCTGGCTAGTTGCTCCAGCACTGTCGTGCAGCTGGAGAGCCAGCCAATGCAACTCAGATGTTGATGGCACATTAACATTTAGGCCCACAATTTTCACCTATAAAAGACGCTTATTGCTTAATTATAAGTTAGTCTTCTATTTGTTGCTAATATTTGTTTTCTGATTTTTTTTTTTTTTTTTCAGGCCACAGAACAGATAACCAAAGGTGAGTTGCGGCTTCTTGTATTAAACTTGTTTTTTCAGCGTTTTCTTTCTGCCACCCATATAATATGGACACCTCAAAGTTGATTTCTTTATTAAGTATGTTTTTTGTTGTTGTTGTTTGTTTTTTTGGCCTGCAAATATGAACCTTCATTTGCAATAGGGCTGGGTATCAGTACTGAATACATTTTTAAATGATCGACTAAAGGTGCTTTCACACCTGCCCTGTTTGGTTCTGTTCATTCGAACTCAAGTTCGTTTGCCCCCGAAGTGCAGTTCGTTTGGGCAGGTGTGAACACAGCAATCGCACTCAGGTGTGCACCAAAACAACCAGACTGAGACCTTCTTGAAGAGGTGGTCTCCATCTGGTAACAGACGAACTCTGGTGCGGTTCGTTTGTGGTGAGAACGTGTTCCGACCTGGATCTGAACCAACTGCAGTCACGTGACACATTGTTTGGGTTAAACATGAGCATGTTACAGTTCTGGAGGATTATTAATGTGCACCTCCTCCTGTACTGCCTTAATATGCACATTCAGCACATCCAATGCATCAAAACATTGTTTTCTAGTTGGAGCCGCGCCTCGTTTTCAAACTGTATGGTTTGACTAAAATGAACAATGACAGCAATATAGTCCACGATGAGCAGCGCTAAAATCAACCTGCGTAGTTGTCCCTCCATTGTGACATTAGAAAGTGTCACATTTATCTTGCAAGTGTACTCTTCTTCAACGTTTTGTTTACTTCCTGGATTTTTCCCACATGGATATTCTGACCAATCAAGAGCAGCTTTCTCTCACAAGGCATTTTATCTGGTTCGCTTGTAAATGCTGCCGTGAGAACACGAACCAACTCTAGGCAATTATGCAACTTCGTAACAAAATGAGTCCCTGATTTGGACTGAACCAAGACAACACTAGGTCTAAAAGCACCCTTAAATGAGTAGTATTGAAACTTCTCCAGTTCAACAATACCTGAATTCAATCCTTTTTGTACCCAGATCTGGAAAGAAATGACAGTTTGTATGATTTTTCTTAAAGCCAGTCACTGCAAGCTTTCTTCGATTTGATGCAGTGTGTGATTGGCCCACTCCCACAGCAGCTACAACCCATATAGTCAGATTTGTGGTTGAGGGCAATGTACTTGAGTTGACAGATCAGCATGTCAAGATTCCACCGAACATTTGAAAGTATGGCTATCCTACATATTTATGGTGTCTGATAAGAATAAATGCATAACATTTGAAGTGATTATTTCAGGAAAATCTTGTAATAGGAGTGACATCAGGCATGAAGAAAACTTCCAGGTGGGACAGCTGCACCTTGTTTACAATGCCAAAACAAAAAGGCATAAAATGACGTACTCTGTTAGTGTCAGTATCACTTTAAGGGTGCTTGTATCGGTACTGGTTTGGTCATTTTTTAACGATACCCAGCCCTAACATGCAGTAACACAGAGTTTCTCAGTGCAGGTGAAATTATACTTTACTGACTTTGTCTGCCATAAACTTTGCAATGAGTTTGTGATATGATGTTTTCTAACAGTAGGGAGACTTACCGTGTGGGCGTGTTAAATTGTGTATCCTCCTAATTAGACGGAAAACGCCTGTGCTTTTTTGCCTCGGAGCCCCAGTTTGCCCTCTGTTCACCGCTGTGCAATTTGGACATGAAGCATTAGCTTTCATTATAGTAAAACATCTTTAACTGAAAACATTAGCAGCAGCCAGGTGGTCCATACTACCTGAGCCAAAATGGAGGCCAGGTGCCCATACAAGACTAATAAGGAGTACAGGGATGCTGCAGCTGCTCCTCGGGCCTCCCCGTAGGCTCCTCGGGCATACCTAGGAGGGTAGAGGTGAGGAGAAATCTCAGAAGAGGAGAAAACGGAGCAAAATAACCACAAATCAAAAAAGAGAGAGGTGAATAAAGTTGACTGAAAGGTGACTTCTGAAGGGAAGAGTGTGCTTAGCTTGCAGGTTTTGAACTCCTGCTCTGTGGCAGCTGCAGACCCACTCCTCACTCTGTCTCCCCCAGCCAGTGCTCTTAATGACCAGAGAGAAGCGGGTAGACAGTGTTGGACAGTCAACTAGTTAGCCCAGGAGCAGATCTCGTGGTCGAGATGAGCCGGCAGATGGGAGAGGGACTTAATGTCTCGCAAGGGATGGGCAGTGTGAAATCTGATTAGAACTTCTGGCCGACTTTGGCAGCGTAGCCTTAATGGCAGCAAGAGAATGGACACCTAATTACACTGTGAGTGTCTTTGTGTTTTTTGTGCCCAAAGCTGTGTTCAGACAAATGTGTTTGGAAGCCAATTTTGTTTAGATCAGTAAAAAGGAGTAAGTCCTCCTCTTATGGGTGCATATGACTGTGAACTCTCCACCGTCAAGGGTCAGCGCCTTGACCTCCCACTCTGTCCCTGAAGGATGAGTTAATGAGACTGTAATGTCACAGAGGTGCCCCCTCCCTCCCCTTATTCCTCTTGTGTGAGTCACTTTCAGCCCCTCACAGTTTGCTGCACTAATGAATGTGATCTGGGTTGGCTGTGTTAGTATTCTCCTTTGTCTCTTATCTACTTTGTGTTGTTTCACAGCATCCACAAATTGACCTATATACCAAGTTTTTTTCTCCCCGTCTTCAAACCAGGCTGTGATGTGCACAATTATTTTCTTGGCTGCTGCTCATAACAGCAACATGCCATGACCCCATTTTACTGTGATCCACAACCTCTTAAATGTCACGTTTGACTCTTTAGCATATTCAGTGTATCTGTGCACTCCAAAGTTACCATAGTTTTCTGGTTTCCTTTTCATTTTTAATTTTGTTTTCAATTCAGTTTAGTTTCAATTAGTTTCCACAGTATGTTTGTCAGTTTCAGATTAGTTTTAATTTTCTGAAAATCTTAGGCTTAGTCCAACTTGTATTACTTTTAGTACTCGTTTTATTTATTTATTTCAATTATAACAAGGGGTATGTGTTAGGGACAAGATTTAAAGATACAGTGTGTAGGATTTAGGGGGGTGTACTGGCAGAAACTAAATATAAGTATGTTGTTTTTAGTATAACTGAAATTAAGAATTGTTGTGTTTTTGTTACCTTTAAAATGGGTCGTTAATATCCACCCACGGAGATCGCCATGTTGCACTGAGTAGTGGCCCAGAATGGACAAGCCAAATACTGGCTCTAGATGGGGCTATTTGCATTTTCGCTTCAGCCACTGTAGTTTAGCGCCCCCTCTGAGATGTTATTCAGTGGTTTTACCAGTTTAAATCATCGATTCCACTTGTATGATCGGCTCCCACTAAAAACCTCCTGAACAACAAACATTGAAGGAATCCTAACCAGGAAAAGTTTCGGCTGGTTGAAATCTGCAATCTGCACCACTAGCTGCCACTAAATCCCCATAAATCTTAAACACTGGACTTTTAAGAAGTTCGGAATAGTTAGTTACAACACGAACTTTGTGAAGGCAGTTGACTCACAGTCATGTAGACATCCAAGTCTCTATGCACCCCATTGTGCTTGTTGTGTTCACAAATTTGACCAAATTGACAAAGACTAAAACGGAAGTCATTTTGTGTATATTTTTATTCTATTTTGGTTATCATTTGTAAGTACACAACATGGTTTCAGTTAATTTAGGTTTTTAACTGCAGCCGAATTGTCCGCAGAGGTCTCGTCCTCTCCAGAGCAAACGGACCAGGTGATTAAAACTGGTTAAAAACACAGAATTAAGCAGTTTCATGTTAAAAAAATAAGTGTTCCTCCTACGCTGTTTGGCACATCCCAGATGAGCAGCTCGTCCAGCAACAGTAATGTGCGCTCACCTATTTTCTGATCGAGAAGCTCAGGAGGTGTTAGCAGGAGGCAAACAATGTGCAGAGGTCTCTTCCTCTCCAAAACAAATGGACCCAGTGATTTAAAACTGGTAAAAACACTGAATAAAGCAGTTTTGCGTTTAAGAAAGTGTTTTTTCCTATGCAATACGTAAGTGGACTTATCTAGAACCAGTAATCAATCTAAGGTAATAAAAACATGATGATTCTTATTTTCAGATGATTATACACGAAAGAAAACATACCTCTTATATTCCATTTATGCCAGTATATCCTCCTAAATCCTACACACTGGACCTTAAAACTATAATAACCTTTCAGCCCTGTTGTGCTTCAGTTAGTTTTCTGTAGGATTGTGTTCGACTCAAGAAATTCCTACTTGAGGATTAATTATAGTATTCTTTTTTCTACGAACAATTTAGTTGACTCACCTGAAAACAATCAGTATTATTGTTTCACCGCAAATTTCAATCAGAGATGCAGAAAATTCTCTAGAGCTCATTTCAAATCAAAGAATATTTATAAATATAATTGTGATGCCAAAGAAGTGAGTGTTATTTTACTTTTAATGACTGTAGACTAATGGCTCATTCACCATAAAAAAGACCATAAAAACAATAGATTGTCAAAAAATCCCATTTGTGACATAATGAGTGACTAATCAACTAAGAGAGGCAGATTGTATCTGAAACTAATGAAGGGTACATTGGGAACTAATTAGGAGAACAGGGCTAGTGTGTAGGCTGAATAAACAGGCCTCCATACATGGGAGATCTCCAGGAAGACCCCGAGCTCCATAGTAACACTACACCACCTCCTGTCTAGTCTAGCAGAGAGGCCCACTCTGGGACCAGCAGGAGGGAAAAGGGAGCAGAAGAAGAAGGTGGGCTGTGAGGAGAGAGATGGCATGAATTGTTGTAGTTACATTTGTGCAAAGTGCAGGGAGGCGGCTGCTAAAACACGGCGCCTTTGGTTGATTTGAGAGAGCTAGAAAAGGGCATGCAAGAGCAGAAGAAACAGACGGAGCCATGTGAAACTGTGAGAATGTACGCCAGTTTCCTGTTTGCCGGCACAGCTGAGGGGGCCCTTTGTAGGATACTTCTACTGGCTCACTTCTCAGACACACACTCTCACTCCAGCAGTCCCCTTCTATGACAGGCACACACCAGCAG